CTCCAAACTCAATTGCAGAAAATATGACTTCAGCAACAGAATGGTCAACGCTTGGAATGCTCTTCCTGACTCTTTTGTTACATCCTCAAACCCCCACAGCTTCAACCTTAAACTGTATACCGTGGACCTCACCCCATTCCTAAGAGGTCTGTAAAGGCGTGCATAAGTGCACCAGTGTGCCTACCAGCCCTATCTTACTGTCCCTATTTATTTGTATTCATTTTGTTTGTTCATGTACATGTTTATACTTACACCTGTTATCTTGTACAAGTTTGACAAAATCAATCAATCAATCAATCAATCAATCAATCAATCAATCTGCCAGGAAGTTCTTGTCTAGCCAGTCTCCGAGTTTCTTATAAATATGGCACAGATCTTACTCATTAGATTAAAGATGCTCACTGGGCACCGTGACTGGATATCTTTCATTGTCTTCTAGTTAGGAATAATTATGGCTGTTCCCATGTTCTGTTAAATGTGCTTTGTGTTACAGTATTAAATCCTGCCTTTGTAATAATGTATGCAAATAACATCACATTTGGAGGTAAATATATTGGGTCGTGATTTTTCTTTCCTCAAATGTCTTATGTTTTTAGCCATTCTTAGTATATTTTAAGCAATAAAACAACTCTGAAATGTCATGCATTACAAGCAATTTGGAGGAATAATTAGAAGCAATCTGGTTTTAATGATAAACAGGAAGGTTGTAAAAGTACATGTATTTAAAGCACAGTCCTTCAAGAACTACTTATGGATTTTAAATTTTAATTTGCTAGGAGTAAGTTATGATTACTGTACATGTATTCATTATATTAACTGGTTTACTTAATTTAAATGAAATATAAATATATTTCAGAGCAGCCTCATTAGTTTTTTAGATTGGCCTTATTTTCTGGAGTGCACTCTCTAAAATACCATTCATATGACAATTTGGGCCCTTCACCCAAGAAAAATACATAATCCTGCAATGTGGTTTCATATTTATAGAAGGGATGTTATATGCCATGATGTTTAACTGGCCAATTTCCCCCTCTAATCCTTGCCTTCCTCCTATGTCCCAAATGCAATCTTTAAAAACAATTGTCCCCCTAAGATGGTTCAGAAGGCTCATCTTGATGGTCACCAATTACAAAAAAAAAAAAAAGAGGGGGGGAGAGGAGGGAAAAAATCTGGAAGATTGGGGTAGTTTTTAAGATGTAATCCTTTAAAAGAAAAAAAAGCAGGGTTGCAGCCAAAGGATCTTCGTTCAACTGTATAGATGTGCCTTAAAATTCCAACTAATTTTATAGCAACTGAAAAATCGGAGTGGTCCTCACTTCCTTTTTCCAACCGCAGTCAATGCTGCCTTTCCTCGCCACTCCCGTCACAACGTTAAGTCGTCGCAACAGCACATCGATTCTTCGTTGAATCGTTTTTGTTTACTTTCCGGAGTGATTCCCCCCGTCAGAGAAACGCTACCGACTCCCATCAGAGACTCTGCCGGCGCCACTTCCTTCCACCGTTCTCCCTTCCTCTCCATCACCCCGCTTCCTAAGGTGAAGCAGCCTTGCGGGGAGGGAGAGGGAGCGCGCGCAGCTCGCCACTCGGCAGCAGCTGTTCTCTTTCAGCGCGCGCCGCCAGGCCCATAGAAGCGCAAGCGCGCGCGCGACACCGCAGTAGAGCGCGAGGCGAGCTGCCCGCCGGTGCCACCGCCGCTCTTTAGGGAGAGCTGGCAACCTCAGGCCGGGCAGCAGAATCCCCGTTGCGTCAGGATCGAGGGCAAGGGCACGCCAATGGGAGGGGAATAGGGGAGGGGGCGCAGTAGGCCGGCCAGCCATTCAGAAGCGGATAACTCTTGTCTCCTCAGCAACCGGCCTAGATAGCCTAGGCTGCGCCTCCCACATCACGCCCTGCTGGTCTTCCATCCCTTCTTCATTCTTAACCAGCTTCAGCCTGGCGGAGGAGCTGAGTTCTCCATTCCTCTTCGCTGAGCTAACGTGTCGGCGGGAGGCTCCCGTAGCTTCTTTTTCCTTCTTCCACACTCCACCCAGAAATTGTCTAGCGAGGAGTGCTTCCCCCCCTCTCCCTTCCTTTTCTTTCTTTCCCCTCCCTCCGCTTTCCGCTAGTCGCTGAAGACTGTGGGAAATACCCTCATTGCTCAGTTCGCTTGAATGGAGAGCGGGGAAGATTGTTTTTCTGGCCAGGGTCGCTGAAATGGGGAGAGGGGGGTAACCGCACAGCATTTCTGGAAGGGTTGCGGGGTGGGCAAATAAGATTCGCTGATGATTCCCGGCCATGGGCAAGGACCAGGAACTGCTGGAAGCGGCTCGCACTGGGAATGTGGCTTTGGTGGAGAAACTCTTGGCTGGCAGAAAAGGAGGGCTCCTGGGCAGTGGATCTGGACCTATTCCTTTATCCAACTTGCTGAGGTAGGGATACCTTTCCCACCAGGACTGGAATAGTAACCTTCTCATTGTCATCATCTTCATCACCTTCCTCTTCATTCTCGGTCTCTTTATTATTCATAGTAACCAAAAATACCCTGTTTGTCTTCTGAGCATGTTCAGGTGTGGAAAGAGGTTTGTGTCATTACCTATGATGACATTAAGGCAAGAGTCTTTGGGTTTCTTTCTGCCAATGCGTCAGAAAGTATTTGATTTGGTGGGTTTCTTTCACTGGTACAGAACTTTGGCATGTATTGGGCACTCTAATGTACACATTGGTATTATTCCTTTCTTTTTTTTAATGACCATCCCTCCTCTCCTCCTAAAAATTACTCAATCTCCCTATTCGTGTAAGACTGTCAGATTTGGGCTGCAAAACTCTGGTTGACTTCTAGATGTCAGAAAAAACATAAAAGGTTTTCTGTATCTCCTTTCTGCCATCTAGAGGTCATCCAGATTTTTGCCGGCCTGATATGTAGACTTAGTAGTTGTACATGTAGCAAATTCTATGGGGATGTCATTTCCAGGATAAATCAGGCATATGATGTGGCATATTGTGAAAACATTTGAACTGAGAGGCTGTCTCTAAAAAATGGTGTATGTTGTGTGCAGCAGGTGATCAAGGTTTCTAGAGCTATGCAGAACTGGATTAGTAAGCATTTTTTAGAAAGATACAACAAACTTTTAATTCAGAAAGACTTTGTGTAACATGAAGGGTTATGTTAATATCACACATTAATAATATAATGCTAAATATACTGTTGGTAAATCATTTTTCATAGATGTTTAACTAGCCAAAATATTTCAGCATACTTTAAAAAAAAATTACACTAACATCATGATATATTAACCTAAAGTTTTAACTTCAGGTGCATCCTCACAATAAATAAAAATATTTTGAAGTAATGAAAATTGTTTCAATAATAGGTAAAAAGAGCATTTAATTTTCAAGGATTCTTTGCATTTTGTCAACCTGTCCCTATGAATACATTGTTTAAAATGGTTTTTAATTGTTTTTAATTATAAGCAGTAATGGTTTAGTTATCTATGCAATTTTTCAGAGTGGCAATAGCAGAATTTTTCTTAGCATACATGTAATATGTTATAGAGTAACTTTAATACAATATATAACCTAAGTAAAAAGGGTAATATAATGTGAGCAATTTAAATAAATTTTGAATTTATTCTTAGATTTTATTTTTTATGTACACATCTACAATTTTTATATTAATGTTCCTCATTTCATAGTAACTCATCTATGTTTACTGTAATTTTTTGCATAAGATCTGCTTGAATATAATAGTAGAATGATAACTATACAAATCTTTTTGTTCACATGTTGAAAGATTGAAGAAATATATTTTTACAAACTTTCTGTAACTTGCTATTATAGAAAAGTGATGATTAATAAATTTAGAAAAATACTTTACTTGCTATAGGCTTCTTTAATTAAACCCACAAAAAAGTTTTGTTAAATTAAACAATTATATGTTCTCTCCTTTAGCATTTCAAAACAAAGTTTAGCTAAACTTCACTAATTTATATTTCTAAATATGTATGTTTATTTTAAAAAAAACTATTTCTAATCTCTAAGTATTCATATAATAGTATAGCAAATATATATTCCAAAATCAACATTTTAGGGGGTGTAATCATTTTTCCTATGTATAACTTATACATTAATTAAAATATGTATTGTTATATAAAAGTGAATTATATTACACATTGATTTAAATAAACTTAAATGGTTTTAACTTTCTTTGGTAATATCACTATTTTAGCAGGTCTGTCTTTTCAAGATCAAAAAGCAATTTGCTTAAATGAAATGAAAGGATTTCAGCTGTGTTGATGAAGATTCTTAATCATCCAGGTGGAGTTGTCTGAAGGTTGTCTGAAGTTGTCCAAAGGTTGAATCATTGCAACTGAACTAATTTTTTGTTGTTAGTTTGAGAGATGTTTCACTGCCCATTTAGGCAGCTTCCTCAGTCAGAGCAAGGTAGTTGGGCAGCAAATTGATGGAATGTACTAACTCCTGCTACACCAAATTCAGGGGTTTCTTTCCCCAAGGGAATGTAAAGAAATGTTTCAACGCACTTTGGGGAGGAAATCCCTGAGTTTGGTGGGCAGGAGTTGGTACATTCCAACGGCTCTTTGCCAGTGGTGGGATTCAGCCAGTTCGCACCACTTC